CCGATGTTGTGGCGTTTACCTGCCAGTGACCCATATTCAGGACTGGAACCCAGTCAGGATTGATCTCATCCATTTCATACGTCGGTTTGCCTTCAAGAGGACATATCAGAACACACATCAGTATGAATACTGTAAATTTGATAACACTAGTAAAATAGTTTACTTCACAAAAATGTAATAACCTCGATGTCCACTGACAAAACTCGGACTATGCTGTCTAAACAATATAAGTCCGACCTAAACAAGGTTGACCAACTTAAATGAACTCAACAGAAACTGATCATGAGTACACCCGGACAAAATCATAGCAAAATAAATTATGACACAACACTAACAAAGCGAATTTAGACACTCACCAGAATGGAAATGTCTGGAGCAAACTTGTAGGTATCTGGGGATGTTGGAGAAGGTAATATTAGGGCATTTCAACCGCTGACATCAGGATATTCATCTTCTTTTCGTTAGCTCCGATAGCTTAGCCTCCTCGCGTCGTTTCCAAGTAGGAAAATAGTGAAACTAAAGTCCGTTTTACATCTTTTTACCTTTTTGGTCGTGTGATCGGACATTACACCCAATGACGCATCAAGTTTGTCCCATAACTAAAATATCTGTGAGACAGTCGTTTTTGTAGGTGGCAACAAAGATGGCGCTGATACCCCCGACTAGAGCAGTGACGTCACGCTCCGAAGCTCTATTCAATTTTCTAAATGTACAATTCTTCTTTCTGTCTTTCCTTTATTGTGGCCTTCCTCTCTCCCTACTTAATCATATGCACCAAAATTAGCGCAAACACAAAATGTATATTATTTTCTAATCAATTTATTAAGGTACAATTCTATATTTACTCATAACACAGTATATGATGTAGTGATTCAATAGAATTCATAACTAACCTGTTTACACTAACATTTTTAAATGATTAATAAAGTAAAGAAACAAATCTAAAACATGAAGTTTAAGTTGAAAAGAAATTTTCAAAACAGGCATGTTTTGTAAACAGGATACACTGAACTGAATTTATCCTGTGCAGGATCAGAGCCAAGAATGTTCTTGGGTTTTAATGCTTTGTTTAAACATTAGGACAACCGTTCACCATAAAGAGAAATGCTTTACCTAAAGTTTCATAACAGCTTCATAGTTGTGACCCTCTCAGGGACTCTGGAATAAAAGCTTATTTTAGCTCAATGTAATGATGAAGGTCTTTGCAGCAGTCATTGTCAGAGTAAACGCTGTGTGTGCATCTGGATAAAACCTCCTTGTATCCTTTTCTCTCTAACTTCCCTATTTTTTTCCTTCTTTGTGTCCTTTATTTCTTCCTAACTTCCTTTACATCCTTGTGTTTTGCCTACCATCCTTTCTTCTTGTTTCAGGTCTCTTCCCACTGTATTAGCGCATAAATCGCTAGTGAGCATTCGTATTTTAGTTTATTTTACATGGAAGGTGGTGTCTGGAAAAGCCTGGAATATTGACCTGAGAAATGTCAAACCCTAAACCCTAACCTCTGGGTTGTTGAGTATTTACAGTGTAAATGTTGCTTTGACAAGATAAAGAGGTTGAACACAACAACAGCTGAACTTCCAAGCGTCCCAGGAGGGACCAGAATGCAGCTTTTTAGGATTCCTACATGTCACTGTCTGATGTTGTGTTCGATCAGCTGGAGTGCGTGGTGCACCTGGTGCAGATGGGGTGTGAGGTGAACACGGTGACGAGCCGCTTCAACCAGACGCCGACTCATACCGCCGCGTTCGGAGGGCACCCTCACTGTGTGGTGTGGCTCACTCAGGCCGGCGCCGACATTAACAGACAGGTGCGTCTGTGGAACCCGCTCGGCTGTCCTGTCACCAGGAGGTGTTTGATCCACATCCTCTGTTCTCAGGACTGCGTCGGTGAGGCTCCCATTCACAAGGCGGCTCGCTCCGGAAGCTTGGAGTGTATTCAGGTCCTGTTGATAGCTGGAGCAGAACCACAGTGAGTAATCAGGGTCAACAGTTTCTGGAAGGTATTAGGTTAACAAGGGGGTGGTTCCAGATCTGAAGACCAACATAATGTAAGCTGAAGACCAGGGCTCATGGCATATTTGTAAATGTTTATATGTAAGCAACAAGGGCAGGAAGACAGTGGTGAGGTGTGCAGTAGGAGTAACAGAAGGGGTTTCATGGAAATGCTTATGCTGTGGAGACTCGAGATAATTCTCATTTTAAAAGAAAGGTAAAGGACTAAGAAGTCTTGGAAACTGAGGCTGGAAAATGTTGGAATTCTACCGTTAATTCCTGAGTTTTTCTTCCTGTTCAGCTTAAGGAATGCCAGTGGACAGACGGCAGCTGACCTTGCCCAAGCTCACGGATTTCATGACTGCTTCTGCATCATCTCCAATGCCCAGACACATCTGGTCCAGCTTCGTGTGCTCCGAGACTGCGCCCCCTGTGGGCAGGGACAGCACTGCAGGAAGAGGCAGCTGACTCAAAAGGAGAACCATCACATGAAGAAGGCCCGGAGAGCAGAGGGTAAGAAATGTGACCAATTATTGGAGCTAATTGAAAAAAATCAACCATGAATATAAGAACCATGCAGTACAGAAGTGTGTGTTGGAACTGTTGCAGTGTTGGTGCAGAGCAGCATTGGTGATGAGGTGGAGACCATGAGCATGGAGCTGAGCTCAGGTGAGAATAGAACCAGTTTAGATCCAGCAGCCAAAGATGGGAGATTTCTTTTCAAACATTACACCTAAACTCTTACAGATTTGCTTTTGCTGTATTTTCTCCACACACAGATGCAAACGCCAATGCATTTCTTGGCGTACATCAGCTCACCCCTCCCTCTGAGAACACCCAACTAGACGAACGCCGCCACTCTCTGCCCAGTCCAGCTGAAATGTGTGGCTCGCTGCACCTGACCGGCAGTCCTGGCAGCTCTGGCTCCAACCGGCCAGAACATTGCGGGGACTCGCTGCTCTACGGACACTACCACGGCTTTGGAGACACGGCCGAAGACCTGAGTGACAGCGGCTGCAGGCAGCCTCTGACCAGCGCCGTCCACCTCTACCACGGCTCATAAATGAAGCTGCTGAGAGAGAGAGAGAGAGAGAGAGAGAGGCTCAGAGTCACATCAGCAAGACTTCAGGAACTTTGGTGCTGAATAAAGTTCAGGAGGTCAAACTCATGAGTCAGGAAATGAAACTTCTTCACTGTCCTGACATCTTAATTGTTCTTGTTTGTTTTCCCCAATGTTTCAGACTTAAGAATGGTCCTAAGATTCAGTTTGGTCTAATTTTAACGGACAATTTGACAAATAAGTCTGTGTAGAGATGTGAAACACTCCAAAGAATGGCCCATACTAGTCAGTCTGGACATGGTCCAGTCAGGAGAATGGTACCAGAACAAACTTGATTTTCATGTTTAAAGCCACTTTGCTAACTGCACTGTACAGAACGGACACAACGTGACCCAGACACGATCTGAGACATTCTGAGTCAAGTTGAACTTTCTTCAAAACAAACTAAATTGGTGTCAAACATTTGTGCAGCTAAATTTTTCATTTTGCTGCGATCATTTTTACGTTTCCAGAGGTCAGACAAGGTCAACCAGTCCCTCCCATATCTATGATATCAAACTAATTTGAAGTCAAACTGTGCTATTTTGTGCTGCTAAACTTTTCCTCCACAAATGTTTATTTGGGTAATGTGGAGGGGGGCCGGTTGAACTTTTGACCATTTAAACTTTCATCAATGTCTTCAAAATAAAAGCAGCACAAAGATTTGATGCCAATTTTGCTTGATTTGAAGAGCATCTACTTCATTCAGGTAGATGCTCTTCTTAGGCCTGGAAAACTATGGAATTGGGAGTTCAGTATTTTTCAGATCTCCAAGTATGGAGAAGGAAAATGAGCATGTAAAAATATTTCTTTTTCCAGACATTATTCTCCATCATACTGTAAACATTGTCTCTTTTCTTCCCTGTATCCTACTTTACTTTTTACATTAATTTTTTCTCTCTGTACTTGTGTCCATAATTTGTGCCTTCATTCCTTCAGTTGCCTCCTGATGTCCTTCAGTTCTTTCGCCCTTACTTCCTTACATCTTCTCTCGTTACTTTTTTTTTGTTCCTATCCTTCTTTCCTTTGTAATTTGTCCCTTTATTGGAGCTTTGTCTCCACCTTTCTTTGGTTCTGTATTTAGTTATCTTATATATACATTTAAGGTGCTTGGAAAATAATCTGAAGAGCTGGGAGCTCTTGGAAAGCATGGAACGTCGACATGAGCAACTTGCAAGTTGCCAGGTTGGTCGCGGCAGCTCCTGTAAAACTGACGGTTCCTACCTGCCACCTCGTGGTGTATTCACGTTTACACAGTTGCTACTTTGCACTATGAGGGGTGGCAAGATGAGCCCCCTCTGTCCATCACCATGAGGATCTGCTGCACTGAACACTAAACTGAAGGCCTCGATGTACCAAAGGGAACATTTTGTACCGTGTTGTGATTCTGTCTCCAAGGACTTAATCCAAACTTGTTTATGTTTTACGGAAGGGGAACCTTGTGCTAAAAGGACAAGCCATGTCAGGTGTGTTTTCAAAACTGCCTTACACCAGCCAGCAACATTGCTCTTCAGAGCTAGTTTTCTATTTTGTCCTGATCTTTCCTAATAAAACCAGTTTTACACTTGGCAACATTCTGAGATTTTGTTGTGATTAATAAATCTGCTCTTTCCTTGATGTAAAGCTGAGATCAGAGATTGATTTTAAGAATAAAAAAGAGGAAAGATACTTTATTTGAATCCTTACATATATTAAAAAGGTCAAACACTGAGCAGTAGAGACATGGAGGCCATCTGGTCACTTCTTCAGATCCAGCTGAATGGTTTTCTGCAGATTGGCTATGCTGGCGTCCAGAGCTGCCAGGCCATCTCTGAACGCCGCCTCATCTCTGGTGTTAAAGGTCGACTCCGATTTCATGCTCCAGTTGGACCACACAGACTCCACCTCACACGGCGGGACATCCTCAGAGACAGATAGGTTGGGGTGATGATGATGATCCTGGTGACGAGGTAATGTCTCAATACATTGCTCTCTTTGATTTGTTCCGTCGCCTTTTGAGTTTTCTTCTCGTTCTGCAGCAACATGCAGACTCTCGGTGTGTGGGGGCTCCCCCTGGTTAAGGGAGATCAGGTATTCCTTGATGCGATCAGTGGATGCCACTACTTGATTTTGTTGGCCAAAATACTGCTTGGTGAGGCACAATGAGTTCTGGACATCCATAGGTTTTGATGAATAGTGACTCTGAAGGAGCCTGAAACAGACAGGAAGCAGGAAGATCAGATGTTAGCAGCAGCAGCTCTCCAATTCCAAACAACATCTTTCTTATCTCTGCTCTTGAGGACACAGCAAGTCAGTTCTATATATGCAACTTCAATATAATCATTTAATTTTAACTGAAGTGTCAAGATCTGAGAACATAGACAGTTTCATCAGTATGTAAATTTTATTTCAACAAGTATGGAATTTGACTTTTAGATTGATTTCTGATTTATTTAAAATTATTTGTATTTGTGAGATTGAACTCTTACATATATTGTAGAAATCCATTTTTTCCTAGCCCTGCTCTGATCTGTTATCCAGCAGCCTTTAATCAATCGCTTTAAAAATGCTTACAACGGCATTTTTAAATGTGTAACTTAGAGAAACATTAGATTTTAAAGGAAATATCATTACTGATTGAAATACAGTATATTTGGTAAAGCAAAACTCCCCCTGGTGGACTTTTTAAGAACTCCACCCAGACTTACCTTCTAAGAAGTTTGATTTCCTTCAGTCTTAGCTGAGCGACTGATGCTAGCTCAATCTTCTCTCGTTCGCTCTCCAGCAGCAGGTTTCTAGCCACCTCCAACTCTGCAGACACACACATGTTGCTTGACCAAAAGAAGCCAACTTATTCCCTCCGTACCACTTCAGGATGTAGTAAAAACATTTTAAACCACCAGATTTAAACTAAATACTTATTTTGCAGTGCAATAAAAAATTGTTCCACATTTAATATTTAACAGTAGAGAAGTTTTTTTCCCAGCTCTCACTCTTATCTCATGTCTCACTGCCTTTCAACACTCTTCACATTCTTCCTGCCACTGCAGTGAGTTGCTATGGATAGAATCTCAGTCTGTCTGAACCTGTCTTTATGAGGGCCTTCTCTGCCTCGGTGTCCCTCAGCCGGCTCTGTGTGTCCTGAAGAGCTTTCCGTAGCTCCGTGAGGTCGTCCTGGAGTTGCTGAAGACTGGACTGGGCAGAGATGACTTCCTGTTGGAGGCTTGGTTCTGTGGAGAGAACAGGAAGCTGCGGTGACAACTTCCTTTAGGTTGGACTGGATTTTATTTCAATGTCATTTGTTAGAGCCTCATTTCAACAGTGGAGCTATAAAGGTTGAAAAAGGTTATTGTTTTGGAGAAAGTCTCAACAACATCAATATTTCCACTAAATAAGAGTAAAAAAAAATAGTTTGATAAAGGAAAAGCCTCTCAGACTCTGAGCCCGACAGCACCAAATTATTAATTTATATTAGACAATTAATTTAATTTCACATAATCATCGCGGTAGAAGCCATTTGTTAATGAAACATATTTACCGTGTTTGATGTTTGTTGTAAATGACGTATACTCACAAAGAACGAGGTAATTAGTCCAAGTTTGTCGTTTATTGAACGTTCAGAAACTACAGCAGCTGTGATGAGCCACAGCAAAGGTAAACTAAGGTAAAATAACTGAACAGGTGATCAACTCTAAACCACTCGCACCTTTTTACTCTCCGTCTCTCTGTCATTTAAGCACACCCGTTGCCATGGCAACCTCCTGCGCTTCCCAAGCCAACCAGAGATTACGTTCAAAACATAAGA